CAGAGAAAAATATCCAATTAATGATGTCATCAATCCATCATCCACATTTAGTTAGGTTTGTAATTCTGAAATGGAAGAGAAAAATGCGAAGAAATTGTCTGAAAAGAGTCGAATGATATCAACATAAAACTAGAAAACAAACACGATCCATGGGCCACAATTGTCAGAGCATGACTAAGTATCATATTTTGTCAACAAACATAAATTTATAAGATTTGATTATCTAGTGCTTATAAAACATTTGCCAAACTACTATTTTAGGATAACCTTTTATATTTATGAAATACAGCATTTTCTTATTATTTTAAATAATCATATGAATAATAATTTTGATCCATATTATTAAAAAAATTACATTTTCGAACTAATAAATTCAATAATCTATTTATTTTGAGAAAATTCAGGAAGTGTTGGTTCAAGTCAACCAAGTGACCGACACTGAGATGGTAGCTTAAAAATGTTGCTGAAATTTTGGTGGGCAGTTTGTGAAATGATTAGAGAACTTTGTATTATTGACATAGCATTCTTTTGGGGTCTAACTAACCCTCTTGAATTTTCCCTCTTACACCCAAAGTATACTCCATTAACAACCTTTGACCTTCCCATGTCCCATGGTGGTGGCTACCACCTTATTTTACTTAGTCTCATGCTATACTTTGTTTAATTTCAGACTCAGTGCCCCTTCCTTCGAAATTTTACAAAATAATTTTTCTCATCTTACTCTCATACAAAAATCAACAAGTCCAAGATATATTTCAAACAGACTCGTCTCAAGAAATATATAGGCCCTATATTACTTTATTAGAATGAGGTCCCTAAAATATATTATAATAAAGCGAGGTTGAAAAATATCAAAAATTTAAGAAGGTTGAAATTAGGATGGACATAAATAAATAAAAATGTTTGTTTGTTAAACACCAAATTTTAGTACCTTATGACATATCACATGGTACATTTGCCGATGTACCTTGATTTCGAGCAATTCAATATTTTTTTTTAATAAAAGAGAGTGTAATTTAAAATTAGAAAAAAATTATAAGTGTTGTTTTTCAAACTTAAACTTTGACTTTAAATATAATCAAATTTTATATAACAAACAAATCTTTAAATATAATTAAAATTTATATAATTATTTAATGTTAATATTTTTTAGAAAATATTTTTTATTAAGATAATTTGATTATAAAGTAATATTTGCTCTAAATATTTCCAATCATTTGGCAATGAACGCTCAATCACCCTGCTAAATCTGCTGGTATTTAAACCCTGACCTCTATAAAAAAAATAATTCTTTTATTTTTTTAGAAAATACTTACTAACAAATCACTCACACTTTCTTAATAATATCTACATTTCAAATGAAACAAATATCCAATAAACACTTTTTACTTTATTTATTAAACTTGAAAGCAAGAGAAGACTTGTGGGAGGGTGATTACCTCACCAAAGTAAGAAAATAACGAAGATCTTGAGAAACAAACAAATAATTAAAGGTTATTTTAAAAAAAATAATTAAAGGATATCATTATGACGTTCATTAAGGATAAAATTACTTTGATAATGTTTTTTAAAAAATAATATAAAATGATAGCATGTGATTTGACTTAAGTATGGATATCATTATGACGTGATGGCCGCGTAACAAATGAGCATTTGCACGTATCTATGGTTTGGTTGAACTCAGCTGCCTCAACCTCCCTCTGACCTTGTTTTCTTTCTTTTCTATCTTTTCGGTGTAAAGAAAGCTTAGTTTGAATAAAAGATTTATTGGATCATAGATTTTAACACATTTTTAACAAATCATTTTGATTTCACTCTGAAACTTGTTTGAATTTCAGAGGATGAAGAACTACTAGTAAATTTGCAATTTGCATTAACAAACAAACAAAAAGGTGTTCATACCAAGAAAAAAACCGAGGATATCTTAAAAATAATCCACAAAAAGAAGAAAAGAGTACCCACCAATTCATCTATTAATTTAACCCCATCTTCGTCTTCATTTCCATGCCATGGGCATCGATATTCATTCCTATGTATCTGTCTTTGTTGGATGATGTTCATGGGAATGTTGCTGATGAACTTTGTAACCCAACGTCATTGTGGTTCCTTGAGGGAGCAGAAGGTGGGATGGGGATTGTTTTAGGCAGCGTACCGTAGAAGCTTCGTGGTGAATTAATCCGATGAGCTGACTTTGGGTTCATCTTGAACATATGAGAATATCTTGATGATGAACCATGGACTGCTGCTGCTGCTCCAAGCAAAAAGATGAACAACCACAGAAGCAGAAGCAGAAGCTTTCTGATGGCCATTGAGTGGGTTTAAGAATGCAAGAAAGGATGAAATCCCAGAAAGAGAGGAGTGGTTGTTACGGTGAACGAGGGACTCCACTATTCATTGCGTGGGACAAACTACAAAAGATGACACCCCCCCCCAATGTAATTACTAATGATATTATATAAATGATAGGGGTTTGGTATGGAGGCCACTGTTTGGGGCTGCCTTGTGTAACAAGAATATGATTTCAAGTTGTGAATACATAAACACGATACACGTAAATGCTGCTGAGGCCTCAGTCTTCACGTGGACATCCCCATGACTAATAAGGATCAATTAATGAAATCGTGTTCTTTTAATGTTTTTAAAGAGCGTCTTCAAGTTTCAAGTTCCACGCTAATCATATCACAGTTGTAATACGACGGTTGTAAAGTTATTGTCCTGTTAGAGTTTCATTTCTCAGTGTCAAATTATTACTTTTGCTCATTTAAATATAGTTTAGGGGTTTGAAACTTGATAAAACATGCTTGAATAATTACTTAAATTTGTAATTCGGTACATATAATTTTTTGATAAGAAAATAGGGTTTCGTAGCATTGATATCGTGGAGATTAATGTCAAATCATTTTCACTTGCCAAAATTTCGTATCATCCGTAGCCATGGGCCTTGCCCAAACAAGTTACTTACCAAAATATACTTCACGAGCATCTAAGTTGACGCCAACTACTGTTACTAATAAAATTAAAACGTGGGCTATGTTAAAAGAATGAAACTTGGGCTTGGAAAATCTTATCCGAGGACTTGATCCAAGTTATGTTTAGTGCAACGTGTTATAATTGTATTTGGTGATCAAATTTGAATTGTTTTAATGTATTTTGAATCAATCCATTTGTATTTGTATTTCTTTAAAAAAAAAAAGTGAATGTGAAATGGGACGGAATGGCTTTTCTTATTGGATAGATGTATGGAACAGTAGGGGCGACTAGAGCATATTATGATGTTTAATAACATGCTACATGGAAAGAATAAGTTATAATGGTGGCATGGTTAACCTCATAAACTAACGGAGTTTGTTACTTTTTATGTTTAAAAAATTGCAAAAATTATTTTATTTTTTATGTTTTAATTTTTGAAAATCATACTTGACTATTTAAAAATCCGTATTTAATTCAACTTGACATATATATTCTTTAAAAAAATTATTTTTATTAGATAAATTAAGATCTAATTAAAAATATAGAGTGTGATATTATTGTAGTTATCAATAAATATATAAGAGGTAGTTATATTATTTTTTTGGATCGATTTTTTTCATCTTAGATTCAAATCCAATCAAACTTAATCACAACCTACAAAAAATTGACTCAATACAATTTATTCTTTAAAAAAATGACCTTATCAGATTAAGTCAGAATTTAGATTCAAGACCTTATCAGATGACAAGTCAGAACTCATTGAATTTAGATTAAATGTCTATCTCTACATGTGATGAAAGAAACTAAGAGATCGTGTTTTGTATTTCAAAGTTGTCAACAATTATCAATAATTTTATCAGTTTCATGCGTAATTGTTGACGATTTTATATTTTAACAAAAAAATATTTAAAATATTTAATAAAAATTATACAATTTTATTAAAAAAACTAACAGTTTACAAGTTAACATACGAACAATAATAACATTAGTATAAGTTTTAGTCACCACTAAATATGAAAATTATATTTAAACATTCAATAAAATTCAATATCCAATTAATATATAATTTAGTATTCTATTACTAATACAATCATCGCTCATAAAGTCTTATATTAATTAAATATGAATTTTATAATTAATATAATCTTCATGTTTTTTCTCATGGATTGATTAAGATAAAAATCATACATGTATGTTAATAAACCTGAAAAGCTTGTGTGTGTGTGTTTTTTTTAAATGTTTATATAATTTTAAATAATTTTTTTGTAAGAGTACCAAATCACTAATAACTAAACCATAACCTCAATAAGTGAAGATACTTCGCTTTTATTGTAGTTTTATTCTATTTCCCTATATAATTATTCTATCATTTATTTAACATTACTCGTCTAAATAAGCTTGCAATGTGCTAATCACGTGATAAGATGAATAATATTCCCTCTTTTAAGTTTTACTTTTTAAAGGAAGGAAAGGACGACACGTAGCTAATGATTACACACGACCACGAGTAACGTACAACGTCTTACTGTATTCATACTAGAGAATTTCGTTAATCATGCCCGCATTGTCGCTTATTTTCACCCCGTCTATGCTACCCATGTGAACGGCTAGACTTCAAAATTTGCATTTTTCAAGAATATAATTTCATGCTAACATCTCTAATCACAACGTGATCCCGCCCATGTATACATGCAAAACACATAAACATTTAAATGTATAATATTAATTAAACAAAGGTTAACGTATAATAATAATGCAACCACAACTAGGATTTTTTTTACTTGTACATCAATCACGATCCAGAGGCAATGAGGAAGTGCACATGACTGAAATATAATGAATATAGATAGTCACACACGATCCATCTAGTTTGAGTATACTACAAACCAAACTTCACCCCTTCACATCATCATCCATCACTACAAAACAACACCCCCTCCCCCTCTCCATTTCTTGGTCCTGACGGCTCGCCAACCGCCCACGTTTTCCCTTTGTAGTTGCACCATCAAACGCCATACATCTAAACACACATGCCCCTTCTTTCCCCACTAAACTACATCATTTGCAATCTTATCACAACCTTGTTCGCTGTTAGTACTGACCAGATGTTGCAGTGTGCAGCTCCTAGGCCTATTGACAGAAAGTGCATGTCCAATGTTGAAGGTGCTCCACATTGTCCACGTTGTGCCTCTGCCAACACCAAATTTTGTTATTACAACAACTACAGCTTGTCGCAGCCGAGGTACTTTTGCAAAGGCTGCAGAAGGTATTGGACTGAAGGTGGTTCCCTCCGGAATGTACCTGTTGGTGGTGGCTGTCGTAAGACTCGACAAGGCAAGTCTATCAGGATCAACAGAAATGGTGGTCAGGTTCAGGTTTCGATGAATTATAGTAAGAGTTCAAGTAGTTTGAGAAATCACGAGGAGCAGATGATTGGAAGCAGTGGTTCCTCCGATGGAGACTCAGCGAACCAACCAGCTCCCGTTAGTGGCTCGGAGATTGATCTGGCTGTTATCTTTTCACAGTTCGTGAACCAGAGCGCAAGCTTAGACCAGCCTTTTACTCAAGCATGGCCTAATGAAGGGGTCGATCCATTGGGTGTTTTAGAACAAGATACCACTGATTCATCGATGGAGTGCCAGGAGTTACCGGTAGTTCATCAGAGTCTGGAATCTTATCTGCTTCAAGAAATGCCTCGAGTTAAGCAACATCTAAAAGTGGATGATAATAGCGTCGAGGGATTTCTGGAAACTCATCAGATTAATGCGTTTGGGTTGCAGAATTTTTTAGCTGAAGAAATGGTACAAGATGTTTTCTGGTCTAATCATGCACCAAGCTTTGATTTTCAACCGATGGTTCGACTTCAACAATTCGAGTGCTTCCCAGTTAATGATCAGCTAACGATTTCTGCAAATTTAATGGCCGAAAATTGCAGTGTCTTTGATCTTTCTGGATTTGAACTTTTTTCAAAACCTTGAAGTCAAAGTCAAATTTCCAATTCTATTGATATTCTTATACTATTTTTTTTCATTAAACTATTTGAAGTATAAAAGCCTTGTAATTTTATTGTATTTAAATAAGCTTTTACGTATGATATGAATAAAATAAAATAAAATCATATTTGTTGAACACTCTCATTACGTTTTTGTATGACCAAATGTTAAACTGTTATATATATATATATATATATAGAAAAAATAGTTTGGGTGATAACAAATTAATACTTGTTTAAAAAATTTCTTACTCAATTAATAAAAACATTTTTATGCAATTGTTTAAACTCGAGTCTCCTATAAAAAATAACATTCAATTTTTTATCACAGAGACTATTTAATGAGTTATTAATAACATTTTTTAAATAATTTCTACCTATAGGAGGAAGAAGTATGCTCCAGATGCAATGAATAATAATGGTATGGTATGTGGCATAGAAGAATAAGACAAGAGAGTAACGTATGGACTTAATATGAGATGCCTCGATGATCATAGGAAAACAGGTTGGGGGACTTAATCAGTGACGTTAACGTCACCATTAATCTATCTGTCTGATGTCGACCTTCGCATGAGTTTTATCCAATCTATATCATAGAAAAATAAATCATATCATGCTATTGAGTGGAATCTAGAACTCATATTATGGATTCTCGGAGAATCAACCTTAAAGCTTCCGCCATGTCCGTGCGTAATATTAGCTACAATTAGATATGATATTATAAAAGGTACTTAGTGCAATGACAATTAGATATGTCCCAATGCCTCCGTTACATCTTTAATATTGACATCATTAATGGACCATAGAGCAATCCCACATGATCATTATAGCAGCAGGCCTTTGCTTCTATCTTCTTTGCTTGCTCTTAGTGTCATATAAAACAAAAGCGAGTGCTTCAATCCATCAATGGGTAATAAAAAATGCAGGTGCTTAAGTTGGTATGTTTTTCTGACAAAATTGATGGAGTGCTTGGTCGAAGACCATAAGACAATGGGTTCATGTTCCTGTTTTGGCACAGGCAAGATCCTCAACCACATCAGATAACTGGAATTTTTTTTTTTTTGCAGATTGCAAGCTCTTTTGCGGGTGCCACTTTATTCTGTATCCAACACTGTTAGCAAAAGGAAAATAAGGAATTCTAGTAGATAATCCATCTAATCAAACCGTTAAGAGAACAAAATGGAAGTGCTCAAGGAAGAATACACCTTTTTTTTTATCTGAGGGTACTGGTTGGCCATTAAGAACACTGTCTATGGCAAGGCTTAAGTCCCTAGAAATGATTAAAAAAAAAAAGCAGATTGTTCGCTAATGCAACAGGAATGGGAAGTCACATCATTAATCATATCAAACATAAAATCGCATAACCGTACCTTCCAGTAACACGAACACCATTACTTGGCCGGGATTCATCAAATTGGCCGTGATATACCAGCTCAAATGGTCTCCTTCCATCCTTTTTCAAAGAGAGAGCTTAACAAGTTATTAATTATTATCACTAATATTTTAAGAACTCTTTAACATGACCCCGGGACTTAATCCCACAATCTTCCAAGTAGATCACAAAGTGATAAATCATAAATTTCTAATAAACAAACCTTCATGGCATCGCACAGTACCTACTTATCATTGCCAACATGATTCAAAGATGGTAAGGTGAGTCAAGAGCAAAACCAACAATTTGATGTATTTTTTTAAAGTTGCACATATTGTGATCACCTTTTTAAATAGGAAAAACTCTGCCGTACAAACTGCCCCAAAATCTTTTGCAACATCTTGAGTCTGAGGTGAAAACATATTTAACTTGATCAATAAGAAGTGTTTAATGCAAAAATCAATTACGAAGCAAGCTAACCTCATTTGCATGCATGAAATGTACGAAGAGAGAAGCTACACCCGAAAAATGAGCCAGAGGTCTAAATCTCGAAAATGGAAGTAAAAGACACCAAGTTACTAAAGAAGTACATAAACAGGTGTGCTAATCACAGAAGAACAATCCATATAACTGCGGAAACAGAAAACAGATGCTAGTACTTTTTTGAAGTCTGCTTTTGGTCTTATTTCCATAGTCATATCCTAGCAGTCCTAAGGTTTTCATATTCTATCTCAGTAGCATTTTTTACTTTTTCGTAAAGGGAAAGGCAAACTCATAATAATGTTTTCATTTATTTATAATGTTTAAAATTATTATTATATCATGCTACATCATAATTTTATTTTAATCATGATTAAATTAGAAAAAATATGATATTAAATATAATTTTAAAAATAATAAGTTAATGACTAAAAAAATATGAGAATAAATAAAATACTAAATAAGTAGTTTACACTAAAAATTAACGAAAAAAGAAAAAGATACTGAAAATAAATTCTCAAACCTTTTTCAACCCTCAAGTAGGGATGGGAACGACCCGAATTTTTTTTAAAAATTAAGGTTCAGGTCGGGTATTTTTTTAGAAGATTAGGTTAGATTCAGTTTAAGGTAAAAAATATCCGACTCGACCTAACTCTAAATATAATTTAAATTTACCTTATATATTAGGGATAATTGTAATAATAACCCTCTATATATTATTTTTTTCAATTAGATCCCAATTTTTATTGAATAAAAATAATATATAATTTTATATCAAAAGTCGGATTGGGATCGAGTTGGGTGAAGTCACCTCTAAACTCGAGTTAGATCGAGTTTCAAGTGGAGGGTATATATTTTCGGGTCGGATTTTATATTTAGAGTGATTTACTTTAGGGGTTAGTACTTGATCTAATTATTATTAAAAATTATTATTAAAAATAAGATTATAAAAAACAATTTAATTAATATTTTATTTTAAATAATTTATGTTTAAACTTTTAACTAATTTATAATTATACGTCGAGTTCTTTATAATTTTAATTTTTATAAAATAAATTAATGATAAGCATCATTAATAATATTTATCGATACCCGTTGAACATTGTAGAATTTTTCAATTCCGTGTTAACATCTCTAATCACAACGTGATCCCACCCATGTATACATGCACAACACAAACATTTAAATGTATAATATTATTAAACAAAGTTTAACATATAATAATAATGCAAGCTCAAGTAGGGTTGCTTTAACTTGTTCGATAATCACGATCCAGATGAGAGCGCAATGAGGAATTGCACATGACCGAAAAATAATGAATATAGAGAGCAGTGGCGGACGTACGTTGGAGTTAAGGTGGACAATTCAAATTTTATTTTTTAAAATTTAAAATTTTATTTATTAATACATGTGTGTTTACTTTAACATTTTATGATGTTCATCCTACAATTTGATCGTATCAAAAAATTTGTATTATTAATATGTTTGTCCATCCTCAAACAATTTTCTATATCCACCACTGATAGAGAGTCACACACCATCCAGTTGAGTCTACCACAAACCAAACTTCACTCCGTCACATCACAATCTGTCACTACAAAACAAACCCACCCCACCCCCTCCCCAAAATTTTTTTATCAGTAAAGGATAATGGGACAATTACCTCCCTTGAATTAAAATCTTGGCTCCGTCCCTGACGCCAACCGCCCACGTTTTCCCTTTGTAGTTGCACCATCAAACGCCATACATAAAAACATACATGTCCTTTCTTTCCCCACTAAACTACATCATTTGCAATCTTATCACAACCTTGTTCGCTGTTAGTACTGACCAGATGTTGCAGTGTGCAGCTCCTAGGCCTACTGATAGAAAGTGCAAGTCCAACGTTGAAGGTGCTCCAAATTGTCCACGTTGTGCCTCTGTCCACACCAAATTTTGTTATTACTACACTTTGTCGCAGCAGAGGTACTTTTGCAATTGCTGCAGAAGGTATTGGACCAAAGGTGGTTCCCTTAGGAATGTGCATGTTGATGGTGGCTGTGGTAAGAATCTACGAGGCAGGTCTAGCAGGATCGACAAAAATAGTGGTCAGGTTCAGGTTTCAATGAATTATAGTAAGAGTTCAACAAGCAGTTTGAGGAATCAAGAGGAGCAGATTATTGGGACCAGTAGTTCCTCCGGTGGAGACTCAGCGAACCAACCAGCTCCCGCTAGTGGCTCGGAGATTGACCTGGCTGTTATTTTTTCACAGTTCTTGAACAAGAGCACAAGCCTAGATAAGCCTGAAATTCTTACTCAGGCATGGCCTAACGAAGGGATCAGTCCGTGGGGTGTTTTAGAACAATATACCTACAGCCAAAATGATTCATCGTTGGAGTTCCCGGAGTTACCAGTAGTTCATCCTAGTATGGAATCTTATCTGCTTCAAGAAATGCCTCAAGTTTAGCAACACCTAGAAGTGTATGATAATAGTGTCGAGGGATTTATGGAAACTGGTCAGATGAATGCGTTTGGGTTGCAGAATTTGTTAGCTGAAGAAATGGTACAAGACGTTTTCTGGTCTAATCCTGCACCAAACACGCCAAGCTTTGAATTTCAACCGATGGTTCAATTTCAACAATTCGAGTGCTTCCCAGTTGATGATCAACTAACGATTTCTGCAAATTCAATGGCTGAAAATTGCAGCGTCTATAATCTTTCTGGATTTGAACTTCTTTTAAAACCTTGAAGTCAAAGTCAAATTTCCAATTTTATAGATATTCTTATACTATTTTTTCTTTAAAATATTTGTAATATAAAATCCTTGTATTTTTATTGTATTTAAATAAGCTTTTACCATTTAATTTTACGTATGATATGAAAAAAAATTAAAACATACTTATTGAACACTTTGATTACATCTTTGTATGACCAAAAATTTAAATTGTTATATGTTTTAACTTAAAAAACATTTTGAGTGATAACAAAGTAGTATTTGTTTAAAAAAATTAGTCAATTAACAACACATTATGTGCAATTGTTTAAACTCAAGTCCTACTACTAAAAATAACATTCATTTTTTACCACCAAGATCATTTAATTTAATGAGTTGTTAATAACAATTTTTTAAAATAATTTCTACCTATGGGAGGGAGAATGAGAATTTTACTCCTAATAACAATTTAAATCATTAATATAGATACAATGATTTATAATTGTATAGTATGTGGCATAGAAGAACGAGACATGAAAGTAACGTATGGAATTAATATAGAAATACGTCGCTGATCATAAGAAAACAGGTCGGGGGATTAATAATTATTCAGTGACGTTGTTGGGGGAATCTCTAATCTGGAAGTAGGCTCCATTAATCTATCCGTCTGATGTCGACCTTCACATGATGCTTGTCCAATCTATATCATAAAAATCATCATATGATGCTATCGAGAGGGATCTAAAACTTCATATTATTTGATTCTATCAGAATCAACCTTAAAGCTTCCGCCACGTCCATGCGTAATATTTAGCAGTTTCATTTTCATATGGAACATCCTTTGATTTGCTATTGATATAGTTATAAAAGGTGCTTAGTGCAATGACAATTAGATATGTCCCAATGCCTCCATTACATCTTTAATGTTGGCATCATAGATGGACCATAGGGGAGCAATCCCACATGAACATTATAGAGCAGGCCTTTGCTTCAATCCATCAATGGGTAATTGGGGAAAATGCAGGTACTTAATTTGGTATGTTTTTCTGACATGATTGATGAAGTGCTTGGGCAAAGAACATAAGACAATGGGTTCTTGTTCCTGCTTTGGCACAGGCAAGATCCTCAACCACAGATGAAAGAAAGAGGCAGAAAAGATATAACCCTAGTTTTGGTATATATTTATTCTAAAAGTATTAATCAGGCAAAGAATTTATGACTCTTACTTTAAGTTATATTCTTGGTAAGGACAATAGCTATTGGTGCAAGAGGGGAGTTAAGGATATACATCATGTTTCAACTATGCCAGAGGGATTTTCTGAAAACAAAATCCAATGCAAGTTTCAGATTCAGATTATTGGTTAAAGTTATATATTCTTGAATCTAATCTTTCCAATGATTATTGCATGTCGACAGTTATAAGCCCGAAATACTAACGAGTAAGCTTCTGTATGTGAATCAATTTATATATAAAAAAATAACATGTTAAATCTTCCCATGTCTGCTGTTCTTCCAGGAATCCGAAGCACGGACGCAGTTCATTTACGATAACATTTATGACAGGAAAATAAGTACCTTCCAATGTCATCGATTTGCACTAAACTGAAATGCCACTTCTCTGAAGAAAGGTACATTCACAGATTATGTTCATCAGATAACTGGAAAAAGTTATTTTCGCAGATTACGAGCTCTTTTGCGGGTGCCACTTTATGCTGCATCCAACACTGTTAGCAAAAGGGAAATAAGGAATTTTAGTAGATAATCCATCTAATCAAACCGTTAAGAGAACAAAATGGAAGTGCTTAAGGAAGAATACACCTTGGTTTTTGAACTGATGGTATTGGTTGGCCACTAAGAACACTGTCTATAGCAAATCTTAAGTCCCTAGAAATGATTAAACAAAGCAGATTGTTCACTCATGCAATGGGAATAGGGAGTCGAATCATTAATCATGTCAAGCATAAAATCACATAACCGTACCTTCCAGTAACACGAACACCATTACTTGGCCGGGAATCATCAAATTGGCCGTGATATACCAGCTCAAATGGCCTCCTTCCATCCTTTTTCAAAGAGAGAGATTAACAAGTTATTATCGCTATTCTTTTAAGAACTCTTTAACGTGACCCAGGACTTGATCCCACAATCTTCCACGTAAATCACATAGTGATAAATCATAAATTTCTAGCAATCAAACCTCCATGGCATGGCACACTACCTACTTATCATTGCCAACCTGATTCAAAGATGGTAGCCTAGCCTGCTAAGGCTAGTCAAGAGCAAAACCAACGATTTGATGTTTGCGAGAACATAAAATAAGTTACACAGATTTTGATCACCTTTTTAAATAGGAAAAACTCTGGCGTACAAACTGCCCCAAAATCTTTTGCAACATCTTGAGTCTGAAGTGAAAACATATTTAACTTGATCAATAAGAAGTGTTTAATGCAAAAATCAATTATGAAGCAAGCTAATGTCATTTGCATGCATGAAATGTACGAACAGAGAAGCTACACCCGAAGAAATGAGCCAGAGGCCTAAATCTCGAAAATGGAAGTAAAAGACACTAAGTTATTAAAGAATTATATGAACAGGTGTGTTAATCACAGAAGAACAATCCAGGTAATTGTGGAAACAGAAAACAGATGCTAGTACTTTTTTGAAGTCTGCTTTTGGTCTTATTTCCATAGTCATATTCTTGCAGTCCTAAGGTTTTTATATTCCTATTATCTCAGTTGCATGTTTTAACTTTTTCGTAAAGGGAAAGGCAAACTCGTAATAATGTTTTCATTTATTTATATTGTTTAAGAAAAGAAAAGAAAAAAAATAGAAGAGAAGAACAATGATAGTACTGGGATACCTCATCGTATAGGTAAGGGAAAGGATAATTATATAGCTTGGCATCTTCTGCCATGAATTGAGGTCCATCCTGTAAACAAAAGTTCATTTGGAGAAATCATACAAGAAGCTTCATGGTATCTCCATTCTCAAACTAGGGGATTAGTGGAACCTGTGGATGAGTGGCTACAGAATTTGAAGATATTGCAACTACAGCAAGCCCTTTCTGCAACAGAGCGCAAAAAAAAATTGAATTGTTTTACAGTTAATTATCATTCCATGTTCCTTAACAGGAAATAAAACAAGCTGAATAATCCAGAAAGTGGTAGGGCACCTGGCTACCTTACCTTCATATAGAAATTGGAAAGCTTCGCAAGATCCTTCTTCAGGTGCTTAACAAATGGACAGTGGTTGCATATAAACATAACCTGCAAATGAACGTGTTACTACTCTGATGATAAATATACTTCATTAAGAGAAGAAATGCCATAAATAGTTAAGAACCAGAAAAAAATGCATGCGCACATAATTTTTCAACTCTACTATTCATTAAAACCATAATGCTTTCTGTGATATTTTCAGAATCTATTTACATTAATTTAGCTAGTATAAGTTCTTGTGATTCTTTATAACATATCATGAAAGGGCACATATCAGAAATAGGCCAATTGAAAACAAGTATAATACTAGTTAAATCTGGACTTTTCAAGTTTTAACTGAGGCAATCATCTGCCTTTTATCCATTCCTACTTAAATAAATTTGACTTTTTTTTTCAAGGGAAAAGTGTGCCCCATTTTCAAGTACTAGGAATACATCATCTGATAGATAGTAGATTCAGAGAACATGAATAGTTATTCTTCTACATAAAAGTTGTCAATACTGTAATAGACAAAGTGACGGTTGTACATTAAAAGTTTAAAGCAACAGAACCAAGATGCATACTGGACCATGGATTTTGAAGGACTGCCGTAGAACTACACTGTACGATGCTTATTCATGAACGACTTGTGTCTGTTTACAAGCCCCATGATATTAAAGCTTTAGCATTGGGCCAAAATCAGCACTTCAGCTTCAACCTTGGAGCATGTCACATGCCCTACTTACGTAGTTCTCAGATGGGCACCATTAAGCGAACTAAAACAAGTCCAGCTATTTCCAAGCAGCAAAGGCGGAATTTCACATTGATTAAACAAAAATGCTCCAAAAATACTTTTCTTTTTAATCCTTCTGGACTGGTCCAAAATGATAAAACACAGTTACTCTTTCAACTATAAAATCGAACAAACACAAACCTAACCATGGTATCACTGTAAAACTGCCATAGCACCTGAAACTGAAATAGCAGGTGCTCCTAGGTAGTAATACCACTTTGAAGCATCTGCATTCCAGAAATTTAACACATTGGAATCATTGACCGAGTCAGAACTATCCTGACAACTAAAAAACTTGCCGATGCTAATATTTGATGCACTGATATCAGAACAATAATACTGGTTATTTGTTCATCTACATAGTCCCCATCACAATCAGTTCCCTTTCAAAACCTGTGGTATTATAGTCTTAAATTTATACTAATAACTGCTTACATATTCAAATCCAAACAACTTAACCCTTCTAATAAGAAATTCCGATCACCGTATTAGTTTTGACTGTTATTTTCTATCTTTGCTTGCCATTGTCAGAAACCTCAATTCTAATTATTCACTTACTGAAATCTCGTGATGATAAAACCATCCTCCTTCAAACAAAGTAAAACAAAACATATCAAATACTAAGGAATTGCACTATAGATAAAGAACAATGACAACAAAAGTACGAATTCCAACATGACAGTAATCCCCTTTTTCAATCATTTCAGTTCTTATCTAAATCCAATGAGAACCCAATTAATAACTTAACAAAATCCGTATACCTTTCCCATACTACCTTACCTTAAAACTTCGTATGAAATTCAATAAAGGTATACAAATAAAGCAATGTTAAAACTTAAAAGAAAACAAGCAGTGATTTCACATCTCTTCATCCTTGAATATGTCAGCATTCCTTCAACTATGTGCAATAAATTAACATGAATATCCCAAAGCTTAAAAATGCCCTTTCATTTACAAAATTCACAAAAGAAACCTACTGTAACTATCTCTAATGTAAGTCCAATCTATACCAAGTAACCGCAGAAAACAGATAATTAAAGACTACAACTCATAGTTTAATCCAAAAAAAAGAAAAAATGGATTAAAACGGAATAAAAATAGAAGAAAAGAAATGGGTCATTACCAGCAAAGCAGGGTATGATTCAAAATCTTCCAAAGTCCAAGTCTTCCCAGTTAGAGGCTCTGGCAACTACACTCACCAAAGGAAAACAACAAATATTTGCAATAAATAAGGGTAAAGAGATAAATGTGTTTAACATTTAAAAGTTTTTTTTTTTTGGTAATATTTTCCGTAGTGAAGAAACCTGGAAATTAGGAGCCCTGGAACCAAGTGAAACGCCTTGAGACTCGGTTCGTGCAGCTCGGATAACCAAAAGTTTCTTTCCTGAGAGTTCATTGTTCCTTATCCGCACCGGGAAAACATCCAACTTCGAGGGCGACAACGTTGTCAGGAATGGCGAAGTCCTGATAACCGCTAACGTGCGAGAGGCTGAAAGTAAACGTACGCCTTTTGTTGTTACTGTTACTGCTCCACCAGCAGCAACCGCCATTTTAAGCTAAACCGATCAACTGCCACTGAAATAGTACGAATAAGATAATACTCGGCCACAAATTTATTTGAATACAATTGGCTAATAATAAACCCATTAAATGGGATTAGCTTCTCATGAAACACATCGTATATGGGCTCCAAAACTAAAAGTCCTAATAAAATTTAGGTAAAAAACTAAAATTAATAATTTAAATATTAAACGTGTAATTGTCGTATGCAATAATAATTACAAATAATACGTTAAAATAATTAAATAGTTATAATACCTTCACTGGTTAGGAAGATTATTATTGTTTTTTATTATACATCATCAAGTGGATTGTTTTTTTAGTTGTAATTAATACAACTACTCGTGTCTCGATGTTGTCTAGCTTATTAGGGCTGCTCTCAAAGGATCTTATTACATTCACACCTCGAACTTTTATGATGATTTATCAAGTTGGCAAATTGCAGGTGTAATTTATATCATTTATTTACCACATAACAATATTTTTGACCCTCAAATTTAAGTTTTTAAATTTGTTTGTATTCTCTGGTTTTTTTTTATTTTTCTCAAATAAAATTATTTAAGAAAAACAACAAACTCATTAAACTAACATTAATTATTTTATTTTTTCACTAATTTTTTATTTTTGTTAATGATTATTATTAATTTTACAATTTCAAAAGAAAGTAAGAATATATATATATATATATATATATATATATATATACATATACGCATTGTATTTTTAAGGAGCTCTTTTGTTAAGAAAGGGGAGCTAATCTACATTTTTATAAAAAATATAGTTAAGCATCACTTCAGTTGTAATGTAAAAAAAAAGAATTTAGTTTTGAAAACACAACTTACAATTGACTCATAATAACCCATTAATTGTATGGATGATTCTGAGAATCATAAATTGAATTTCTAGTAAAAAAATTGTTTTGTTATAAATATAGAATATGTTGCAACTTTTAAGATCTTTTAAAATTAACTAGGGTTAAGTTTATTTTAATTTATTAAAATTAGGACAAATTTGATATAATATATAAGTAATAGTGACCAACTGTGTACTTATACCAAATATTTCATTGTCACATCAGCTTCTCCATTAAATATTAATGACAAGTGGCTTAATTAAATGTATTTAAATAGTTGAGTGGCATGACAAGTGGCTTAATTAAATGTATTTAAATAGTTGAGTGGCCTGAATGACAAAATTTCAAAATATTGGTCAAAATGAAAATGGGCAATAGTTAGGTGGTCACTGCTATAATTTACTCTTTATTTAAAATAATTTATTTTGAAATTTTAATTAATTTATAATTATACGTTGATTCCTTTAGAAATTATTTTTAAAAATTAAATTATTATTGTTCGTTATTAGTGGTGCTCATCGCTACTCATCGAGCACTATAAAATTTTCATAATTGTATTAATTTAAAATGATTTTAAATTGTGTAAGTGAAAATTAATAAAATATTATTGCAAAAGATTCCATTTGCATTAGCAGGTTTTAAAATATAAAGTTTTCAGCATTGTAACCTACAAGCTTCTATCTGCATGATGTAAGACGAAATTAAATAAAACATTCAAACATATCCGGTCTCTGTATTATCCCTTACCAATGCCTTAAATGACTTGGGATTAACACCCTTTTACTGTGTCAATAAGATGATGTAAAAGAGAGTTTTAGTTTAATATAATTCCTCTGTTTGAATGATCCATAAAACCAAACTCTCTTATTTATCATTTTCATCCATTAATGTAAAAGAAAATATTTTCTTAAATACATGCTTCATCTGAAAAGAAAAAGAAATCAACTATCAATAATTTTCTTATCTCCATTTAAAAATAGACACAATAAGATCGATAATCAATCTTACATATTTTCTACGTACAGATCTAAATGCATCGATAAATTATCATAAAATAGATCTAATTATAAAAGACCATCGATATTTTCTTATTAAGAGATACACTATAACAAATGCAACATGAAATGTTAAATTTTTATAGTGATAGAGAAAGTTAAAATTAATATTCACGTCTTTCATAGTGAGAAAATTATAGAGCTAAACTAAACAAAATTTTTATATTGAGAAGGTCCGATCACTGAAACAATTTCTATATTAGGAAGTTGCGAAGTCAATTCTGAGAGCAACTTTCATATCGAAAAGTTGTAAATTCAATCTCAATTTGAGAATTTGTAATCTGTTTTTCAGTAAGGCCAAGTTGATGATAAATATTCCTTCATATCAACGAGTCGTAATTATATAAAACAAGGGCCCACAACAGTTTTCATGCGGTCATGGATGAGATCAAAGCTCAGGATAAGCTAACACTTTGAGATCTTAAACAGTAAGAGATAACTTCAAGGTCAAATACAAAGTCACTGTCAATGGCTTACACACACGACATTTATGTAATAATAAAACATTAAAAACAGCAGAAGTTAAAATAAACAAAGGGATTTCAGGTTATAGATAAATGTTTCTCCATGTTTGTTCATGCCAGCATGGCTTTTACCCAGAAAAAAAAAAATGATTTGTGGGTTATATAAGGTTAGCTGGAATCAACCATCAATGACCAACAATATCTTGAAATGAAGAGAAAAAGGGAAATGGAAACGAAATCAGAGATAAGGTCCGCCATTGAAGAACTCTCCATGTTAACCAAAGCTCAGCATGCAGCAGCCGCGGACGTTGCTCATATACCAACCAAGCCTTTTCTTCGTGTCTGCACTTTGATTCTTCAAGTTCTTGGTCAGTTTTCTTTTTCATCTACTCTTTATCTTTCTCCAAACATGTTGATTTCAAGATATCGACTTAACTTTAATTTTTTTCCTACCTTTTTTCAGTTGTTCTTTTCTCTTTTTCTTTTTCTTCCAGATAAGATAGGCCCGACTATGGCTGTCCTTAGACAAGACATTCACCAAAATATCCAGGTTAAAAGTAACTGAATTTCTTCTCAGTTGACAAGAACACCCTTGTGATGTTTGAAAAAACCTTGAAGTTCTTGTCTTTATTTTTGTCATTTAACCAGTTTTTACATGGGCAGTTTTGTCCATGTGAAAACTCCATTATTTGAAGATCGACTGAACTGCCTCTCTCCTCTCCATTTTTTAGAGATTGGAGAGTCTTTTGGAATCGGATCCTACGAAGTATTCGAATTTGATTGAGATGCTGAAAAAGGAAGAGAGTGAAGGTAACGCAAGAAAGGGTAGCAGTTGCAGTAAAGCCTTTCTCTGGCTTACGAGGTAAGCAGAGAATATAGATAAATGTCCCACATGAATATTTTCGAATTTATATCTTTATATAGAGAGAGCCATTACCACGAATTGAGTACTATCTAGTGGAACTATGAATAAAGCTTTTCTCTAATAATCTAACTTATTAACTATTGATTCAGCTTTTCTTTACCCAAACATGCATTGGACACGAATTCTGAACACAAGTACTTCAAGAAGAATGAAAAACCAAACCAGCCTTTTGTCTCTGGGTCTAATATAAACTCGTTTCCCTTTCAGATCCATGGATTTTATGGTAGCTTTGTTACAAAGATTGGTGAAGGAACCCGAGCAGAACATAGAACAAGCAGTTCAAGAATCCTATAATGTTACTTTGAAGCCTAGGCATGGATGGATTTCGTTGGCTGCTTTTAAGGTATTTAGGATTCATTAAGTAATGTTTGAACATTCTCTTTAATTTAACATGTACTAACAGATTTCAAGTTTACAGGTGGCTCTAAAACTGGTGCCGGATAACAAGACATTCGTCAGTCTCCTCATGACAAAAGATCAAAACTACAACAACCTTAAAGAGGATATGCAGACATTGATTTCATTACTTGTGCCTTTACTAGAACAGATCCATTCTATCCTGGTGAGTATTATCTGTCGATGTTCGTAGACTCATCATCCAGCTTCTTCATTGTTTTAATGCTTTATTTTCTTAATATATGCAGAGGTTTTATCGATTGGATAGGTTGAAGTCTAGCTGATGAAAAACCTTTTCCCCTGAAGAGAAAGGCAAGAACAGGCATACGGAGTTCGGTTCCTCTCTTGCTGGACATATATAATTCTGTACATAGCCTTGTAAATTGTAGGCAAAATCTGCTTTGACAGCTACTTTTGTTTTCTAAAGTATCCTTGTAAATTGAAGAATTAGTGATGACAAATATAAAATAATGAAATGAAGAATCCAAAAATAAATATTACTTCGTAGTGTATAATCTGTAGACACCCCCCCCCCCCAAAAAAAAAAAGAAAGAAAGAAATAAGTGAATTGCAATTTCATTGGATTAGTGATGTAAAGGGGTCGTGCTATTTTGAGGAACAACTTCATGACAAAAAGTTCAGGTACCAAGCTGAAAAGAGCTACTAAATTCAAGGACTAAAAGTTGGTTTATACCAAAACAATACCCTTAATTGTTGGCAGTGATCTAGCTTCGTAACTTCTTTTACTTCTAATTACGTATATAAACTTGACAAAGAAAGGCAACAAAATTCAGAAAGTAAATATTGCATGTATAATGGGAGTGTATATAGTAACCTTATAATTTTCACCTGTTCATAGAAGTGTTGTCTATACATTTACCAAACCCAGCAAAATATTGCAGTTCAAGTCAGGGTCTTGCTCTACACATTCTCAAGTTAGAGAAGTATAGAGGTCATCCCCCTTAAAACCAACTTCTTCACCCTGGAAACATATCGACATCAAGACCAAGCAGTTAAAGAGGGACAGGTGGAAAAAAGAAAATCTAAGAAGACTCAAATTTGCATGTACATGCAAAGCATCTATAGTCTTGTACGGCTGAAAGCTATGTTGAAAGTACCTTTTGATAACTCCAATTGCAATGAACAGCTGCAGATACTATCTAGCAGTTTTATTCCGGGCTTGGATACGGTCATGTCTCTTGCTGGTGGCCACCAAACCACTGTCGCTAATGCTGCCTTCTAGAACATTATCGTGAGCTTCAGAAAATTCCCTATTCCATGAATTTAAGGGGGCGAGATAACTGTCATCCTTGGAGTTCCTCCACCGCTCCTCTTTGAGGCATTTCACATTTTCTGATATCTGATGGAAGGTCTTGTTTATTTTAGCAATTCCTCTTTCAACTGGTTCAACGACGTGTGACACTGTATACTTCATGTCATCAACAATCTAGAAATATGATAGAAGGTTCACATGGTCGGAACATAGAAAGGAACTTTCAACTCAAGGAAAATAAAACAAGGGAAAAACGTATCAATCAAGAAAAGAATTTTAAGTCTCACAATTTCACCACTTCCCAAGACCACATCACGAAGACTTTGGGGAAAGTTCAAACGCTTTTCTCTTTCATAATGTCGATCCATGCACATCCTAGTAGTTCTTTCACAATCTTGGACCTCTTCAGGATCTGGTGGAGTTCCCAGAGAAGCATAGTCGGTCATAACAGCTACATTACGGACACATCTTTCTCCATGCTTGTAAGGTACCGCAGGAATGACATAAAGATGCACAACAGCAGCAACACCCATCTATTTTGCAAACATTACTTTAAACCTCCCACAAGAATATCACTTTACATTTGGAATTAGGTTTGGCAAAACAAACAACAGTATTTTTAGCAAATTAGAATATAACTACATGTTGTCAAGAAAACCTTGACATAACTCATCCATAGTATGGGCTCATCTGAAACACCCTGCCTCAAACATGTATCCAAATGCTAAACATGCCAAGTTTTAATTTGGGCAAGGTAGCATGTTAATACACGAAATTCCAACCTAAGCAACTCAAAATCAGGACCGCCAGTCATGGATCCAAAAGAGTGTGTTCAACTATCTCTACCCTTCGCTTACATTTAGAGCATCAAAAGACCCTATCACCGTGCCTACTTGGATGTGTTAGATATGTGAGCAACATGGTTCCAAGCATAGTCACATGGATCGCGGTACGCTCGGTACGGGAAGGTGGAACGGGATCGCAATTCGCTAGGCCCCTAAAATTCGGTACGAGGAGGGTAGACTTCTTTCGGATCGCTCCGGTACGATGTACCAGTTTCTTAGATAGAGATCAATTATGCATGGCTCCTTTAGGAACAAAATAATTCAAAACTCAAAATCTAATATGCATAAATCCAATTTAAGGACTAAAATAAATTGAATAAAAAATGAGCATGGCTCCTTTAGGAATAAACCCACGCGAACAAAAATGGACCACCCTGGACCCCAATTAAACGGCAGTGTTTAACCAAACTATCTAAAGCCTTTAAAATTTAACCTAAAAATAGATCATAATTTATGCTAAACCTAATCCCTTCCCCCTACGCCGTTTTGAACCTCTTCTCTTCTTCATCCTCTACTCCTCACACCCGCATGGCCGAAAGTCTTCACAACCCCAGACCCGAGCAACTTCGAACCCTCTTCTCTTCCATCACCTGAGAAGGAAACCCAAAAGGCTTCGATCATCGATCATCAGCCCCGATGAGGAGCTGTTTTGAAATGGTTTCCCCTCTCCCTCTTATTCTCCTCTGATTTTTTCTCTCAAACCCCCAATCCCTTTATTTTTCTGATTGCATCTCCTCTTATCCCTGCTGCAAAACTACGATGTACCGAATCGCGATTTTGAAACGATCCAAACGCGTTCGTACCGCATTTTGGATCGCAACGTTCAGTACGTAGATCGTGGCCAAATGAGCGATTTATGTAACTATGGTTCCAAGTTCCAACAGAGGTTTGTCTTGAGAACAGGCACTTCATGTAAAAATGCCTAATGTAGGACTGGACAAAAATAACACCTTACCAAGACCCAAAAGTGAAAGAGGCAAGGGGGAAATGATAAGCAACATATAATCTTGTGGAGACCAACAACATCAAACTTGTCAATACCTAGACATCATTGCTTATACAGCTACACAGATACTAGACTAGTACATTTCAGAACAACCAATATGTTGCCAACAAAGGAAAGAAAGGAAAGAAATTCTACACTCTTGCAGCCTACTATTAACAAGATATATTGTTTAAAACATGCCTCAATACAGATAATGTAGTCTTGTATACGGGTTTTCAGTTCCTGAGCCCGTGAACCCTTAAAAGCTCCCATGGAAAACAGAAATGCAATGGCAACACCTTTCCACCATGTCAGGAATACAATTGACTTTTTTTTTTTGATAGGAAGGAATACAATTGACTTGAATGTCAAAAACTTGGCCAAAGGTCTAATTGGTTCCAACTTGTCTTTAGTCACAGCATAGAATTGTAAAAGACAATATAGGGCCCATGTCTGACTGAAATTAAGAACAACAGCCAAGTATGGATAACTGCCAGAGAAACGGAGTTGTAAGATCAGCATGTGATGATAGACACCCCAAAAACTAAAAAAATGACATGTACCTGAAATCCTTAGTTATTCATATCCCATGATAATCATTTATGTGCAATAAAGTTTTCAGTTTCTTAAAATGCAGAAGCATATATCTCACCCATATCTCCATTCAAACTTTCCTTCTCTGTAAACTCCAAAGGATTGCAAAATCATTGCCAGTAATGCACAGATCATCTTTAGTATCATCTGAAAGACAGATGCACAGATAAGCACTGGAAGGCTGTAAAATTTCAAAAGGAATTAGATGATTTAATGAAAGCTTCTTAGAAATTTAAACACATACATACTGAACAATTCCAATTTTTACAGCATGATAGAACTTCGGACCTAGAAACCAATCCTTCAGGAACCAATTTAATGGAAAAGGATGTTCCACAACTCCATATGAATACACATCTTCTAACAGAGGGCTGCTAGCAGTGACTATTTTCTGACTTTCCATGAATTGAATTGTACGTTCCTCCCCACCTACAGACACCAGCTTTTTCGGGTCAAATCAAAATTAGGGAAAAATAAAAATGAACACTAATGTATTGTTTTGCTGGCTGAAAATGGTATTAGTAAGGAAAGTAAATGGAAGAAAAATATGGATGTAACATGCAAGAACGTTGTCCCATCAGGACAACCCAATCATATCACCAACAGTCCACGTCAAGGGTACAACACTTTTCTATGGCTCTGTCATGAGAAAAAAAAAACATGGTAGGAATCCAAGCACTCTGTTGCTTGCCTGTCACTATATGTCTCTAAGCACACATCCAGGCAAGTGTATATTACTAAGAAAAGTTCTATACATGAGAGAAAAATTATTCAGACACAAGGAATTCTTCAAGTCAGATCACCTAACTTGTACACATAATATTACTTGCAAGTTGCAAGATGAAATCAGCAAACTACCTAGTTTCAATCATTTGGTATTACAAATAGGAAACTTCCTGGGCAGTAGATTTCATTTTATAATGTGGCTAACTAGGTGAACTGCAGCAGTAAATACTGTAGATTTCATTTTTATGTAGGCTGTTCGAGGTTTAGTATATATATACTAAACCTCGAACAGCCTACATAAAAATGCAACAACTACAAATAATCATAAGTTCCATTAAACCTCCATTCCAGTGGCAACCTGCATAAGTCAAAGATTTCCATGTCTGACTTGTCATAAAAACCTCTAAAATGCAGTGGCCACAAAGTTCAATGTTTGTAGGGGGAGAGTCTATTATGTTTTCACTAAAAGAGGAACTCCTAGGCCTTTAATTGAAAAAAAAAGGACTTGAAAACATATCGATGTAACTAAGAAATTTCCAATTTAAATCACTAATGACTAGCCAACTGAACAAACATCGAGGCACATATTAACTCTTCAGATATGCTGTCCTTACACATTTCTTTGCACAGTTTATTGATGCTGAAAAAAGTGGAAACAAATAAAGGCAAACAGAAAAAAAAGGAATGAAAAAACATATCTACTCAAAAAGAAAATTAAAAGAAAATGAGAAATTGAAGATCCTAAAGGTACTTTAGGAGAATGTACTCTATTAATTTATTGTAAACAACATTCAAGAGATAACAACAGTTACTTGATCAATGCACGAGGATATAGTTGGTCGTCTTAGCATACCTAAACAAGCTATCAAATATCTCTCAAAGCAATACAATGCAAAAGCTTCATAACAGTCCCGAATGACTTCACAATTGAAAGCAGCATCCGAGTTCAACAGTGATAAAAACTGCACCCAAAAAATCCAGAACATAGTTCATAGAAATTTACAAATATTTGCAACAATAACTGCAATTTACTTATTTCTTCTTTTCTTTTTTTTGAGGGGGGGGGGGTACTGGCCTGCTATAATGTTAAATTACATTGAAAAGTCGAAAGCCTTAGAAAAAGACTATTCTCCACTTTTAGAAGCTGGGAAAATTATCCATTAGTAAAATTAATACATAAGATATCCACTTCCCTGCCTCACTGCACTCTCCCAGTTACCTACCAGATAAAACAATAACAACCAACATGCTGGACATCAAATACATAAAATTTACCCCTCCAAAGATAATAAAAGTTCAAATTACGAAATAAATCCACCAAAATTGCTATTAGTTCACGATATCTTCAACATCACCAAATATTACGAATATGGTAATAAGTAAATTCTGCTCCAGTCTGATATGGGCAGTGACCAATAAGGTGATGTGATTGCACATGAATTATGTAGTTCAGTTAAATTGAATAGCTGACGCAAACTTTTCTAAATATTTTTTTCTTTTTTGGGTAATGAACAAGGGTCTGCTAAACAGGATGCATTGAATAATTCATTGGATGCTTTTTATGAATGTAACAAAATACATATCTCCATTAATGATAGAAATACATCAAAAATACCAACAACAAAAAAGGTGAAGCCAAAAAGGATAGAGATGAGGGAAGAAAAACGATAGTTAATATGGTCGTACCGATTCCAATGCATAAACAGGAACCATCAGAATGAGTCCTATTAAAAACTTCTGCTCCTGAAGACAAGTCACACAATAAAACCATACAACATAAAGATAAAGGTAACATAAAACCAAAAGAAAACGAAAAGATCCAGAAAAGGGAAGGAAAATGGTAACAAACCTCTGGTTGATTATAAGAAGCTAAATGCTCAAAGATGAGGTACATAGAGAGGACAAGAGCAACAAAGACAAATATGCTTGCACTGAAGACTGGCCAGCTGAATTCTACAGCTTCTTCGGCACCCAAGTTTGACAACAATATTTTATCTGACCTACTTGATGATTCCACTAGGGTGAGAAGAAAAAGTGAAGAATAGAAGGCACCTCTCCATTCCATGGAACCAGGACACGCAATAATTTTATTTAACAGTCCAAGAGGCCAATGCCTCCCGATCACAATTTTAACTTGCTGAAGAATCTACAACTCAAGAAATATATTGACCACTCCTTGTTTTCAATCGCACAATATGTGTAATGTGTTTCCCTTCTATTAACTGTGAGAAACAACTGCTATAGAACTCCAAATTTACAAAGAAAATCCCCTTACTTTGATTTCAAAAAAATGCCCAAAATCATACCACACACACTACAATTCCATTATCCTTCACTGTTCATTTCCTTTGTATGGTCTTAACATCACTTGCTTCCAAAAGAAAAAGGAAGAAATCTAGAGGAACAGGACAAAAATTACCAGTAGAGTATATAGATACTGTAAAATCAACAAGAAATAGCAGAAGAACCAACGCTGCATGGCTAATAACTACCAAAAAATGAAGAAGAGAAAATGGCATTCAGTTTGAAAAGAAGCATCACATAAATGCAATGCAAAGTTCCAATAATAGGATAAGCATTGGAGATTGAATACTGAACTAAGCTACCTATAAAAGAGGCAATAAATTACATACCTACATAAAAAAATAGCTTAGTAAAATTACAAGAAGCACCGATTGATGAAAATTCCAGTATGAAAATATGGAAAATGAATTACAACCCATCTTAATTTTAAAAAACAACTGAACGGTGAAAAGCACAAACAGTTTAGCTCAGGAGTGACTTCGAAAATAATATAATCTTCCCACTTTCAAATTTCAATTACTATAAGTTGATGCTGAAAAGCAGTTATTCCAATACAGATATCCAGCATGAGAAACCGAACAACCAATATTCTTTCCAGATCCATTTACCTTTGAGTTGTTCACTCGTCTACCAATCTTCTTAGCAATCCAAAGGTTATAAATTATCAACTAGATGCTAAAGCGTACAAAATATGTTAACTAGCAATAAAAACATAACCAGAAAGAATAATGCGAAGATTTTATCCTCTCTTAAGAAGCATGGATTCAAAAAGAACAAGGAGAAACCAACATCAAATTCATTTAGAGGACCTAAACCAACATAAAGAAACTGAATATCCAGAGGTCCATTGTTAGCTAAAAAGGGTCCTGCACTAAGAAACAAACATTTGTTTTATATTTGCCCCAGTTTATCATCATTCAAGAAAAGCATTGTAAGTTCAATTAAATTTACAAAAATTTTATTAATTCGTCAAATTAAATGATCTCGGTGACACCATAGCAAAGCAAAGAACTGTACTTGGTTCACCTTTCGCTGAAACAACGATCAGTCAGAAGAGCATTTTCTTGAGTTTTCCCGGCAAACAAACAAGAAAATTACTCAGCCCAAACTGCAATCGAAAAATAAAGCGGTTAGCAATTGACTGCATTAAGCAAAACAGAAGGAAAACAAGGTGCAATGCTGAAAGAAAACCATAGAAAGTCGATGGCACTGAAGGAAAATAAACCCTAAAGTTACTAAAACCACTTGATAAGAAAATAAATTGAAAAGAACATAAACATTGCAAAAAAAAAAAAGCGATGGAGTTATTATATCTTTTAAAAGAAGTTTTAAAGAAAAATGTTAAGGCTAAAACCTATTGTCGAAATTTCCTCACTAAAATCAGCGACGTTCAATTCTGAGAAACGGAATTAGTAATGGAGAAATGGATTAAAAGAAAACGAAAACCGAATGTTTGCTCCAGGCGGTTGGGGGAAAAAAAATTTCCCCTTTTCTTTATAAAGCTAACAAGGAGAAATGACGATAAGATTTTTCTAATTCCTATACGAAGGAAGAACTTGAGCCCTTTTGTTTACGATCCACGGGGTTATTGATCATTGGGATTTGGGAGTAGCGGCTGAGGTGCAACTTGCAAGATCCAAGTGAGGGTGTGATGGTGGGCGTTGTAACCAGCGGTCGTTTGAGAGGATGAAGATGAAAACTGGGAGTAATCAGAAAGGATTTCTTTTTAACGAAGCATTGGACGTGATGAATGACACGCCAGCAATTGAACGGTAGTTTGTTGACTAAAAGCTTGATGACGACAGCTTGTTGGCAGATGGAGCAGACCCTTGCTCCCACTCAATTGCTTAATCACCTTAGCCAACTAGCCAATGTCCCCATCGCCGTAACATAGTAGTGCATGACCATATCTAATTACTCGAATCGTATATTTTAAAAGCTATATTAAATGTCTGTTTTTTTTATTAGGGTACACTACACCGTTGGTCAGTAATATTTGGGATAGTTTTTATTTTCTCTGCTGATATTTCAAAAGTTACAAACCAGTCACTCATCATTAACAGATGTTAACAATCGTGATAGAAAACACAGCTGGAACGTTAACTGCTTATCTTCTTTTTCTTCGGATGATATCCAACCAACAGATAATTCACGGCGGTTTTCACCGTCACCAGAACCGCCGGGTGGTGGAGGGTGGATTTTGGTTGGAGCTCATAGTGACCTTGATACCGATGAGTATGACTGTGAAAGTGAGGTAAGTGTCTGGTTTTGTAACTGTTCTTCTTCTCCTTCTTTATATTTTGTTGCTGAGAAAATGGTGAAGGGATGAAATTTGGGACATTTTGTTAAGAAAGATAAAGATCCTAGTTAAAAGTGAGCTGATTTGCATGTATTAAATTTGATTACATGAAGCAAAGAGAACAGACTATTCCGAGATTCTATTTGTGAATGTTAAAATAGTTTTTTCTTTCAACAATTCAAATCAAACAAAGACAGTTTTTCTTATTATTTAGCTTGAAATTTGGCAAAAGCAGGAGATACTTGACACATTGGTGGATGAGGCACCTCGAAAGACAGCTCCATCTCGTAGTTCCTTAAAAAGAAGCAGAGCTGCGGAGGTTCACAATTTGTCTGAAAAGGTTTATTTTTTTCAAATCTATGTATTAATGGGGAACCATTTGTTTGATTTCTTTCTTCATGGATATCTGATTTATGTAGTTTGATTTGAGTCAGAGGAGGAGAAGCATGATTAATGAGAAAAGGAAAGCATTGTAAAACATGACTCCGAATTCTAACAAGGTATTTTTCTTTTACAAATATTGTTGCTCTTGGATCATGTATCGAGAGATTGAATCTTCTTTTCATGGCAGACGGATAAGGCTTCGATGCTTGATGAAGCTATCGAGTACTTGAAGCAGCTCCATCTTCAAGTTCAGGCATATATGCCAATTTGCAGCTCTAGCTTAGTTCACCACGAGTTTGGTTTCTGATTTATATACGTTGTCTTCATTTCTCAAATGCTATCCATGAGAAATGGATTAAGCTTGCATCCTATGTGCTTGCCTGGAGTTTTGCAGCCACTCCAGTTCTCTCAAACAAGAATGAACTTGGGTGAAGAAAGGTCTCTTTCCATGAATGTATCGGGAACGGTACCGGTGAATCAAGAAACCTCGCTGCAGATGGTTTTCGATCTACCTAAACTTGGGTGAAGAAAGTTAGGTTGAGGAAGAACATGGGGTGGAGTTGAAGAAGAAGAAAAATTGGCCAAAATGGTTTAGCTGTGGAGGTCTCCAAGGTGCGGTCAATTTAGTTAATCCCAGTCCATGTAATCGCTTAACGTGGCTGGTATTTTTTTTTTTGGTCACGGCAGTTAACATCGGTTAACGTTGAGTGACTAGTTTGTAATCAATTGATAACGTTAGTGATCAATTTGTAACTTTTAAAACATCAGTGGGGAAAATAAAAGCTACCTCAAACATTAGTGACCAACTATGTAGTTTACCCTTTTTATTAAGCTGGTGATTTTAAAATAGTATATTTCTTAAATATTCTCAATAATTTAATAATGAATATTCAATCGTCCTACTACAGCCGTTGATACTCAAACTTAATGTCTGTTTTTTTTTGTACATCAAATATTGACTTCGATTTATAATCTACCATCTTAATGAGATTTCCTTGTTGGCATCAGCCAAAAAATATTTATTTAAAAAGTTATATTAATTGTTGATATTTATAATTACTTTTTAAATTAATTATTAACATTAAATTTGTTAATCAGTTAATTCATATTGAATTTATAGAGATAGATTCTCTCAACCTTAATTTGTTCAATTAATATATGCTAGAGTTTGAACTCCTATTTTATTTAGAAAATATAATATCTCGTACTATTAAATCAAATTATTGTTAATTAATATTTATGATTATTTTGTTTGGATGAGTTTTTTTAAAAAAAATATTTACATTATTAAATTTTTATGAGTTTAGAAAATAATTATAAAAGGATTAATGATATTAAAAATATATAATTTAAAAATATATAATAAGTTTGTAAAAATATATTTGTCCCAACTAAGAAAATTTACTGAAGCAAATTGATTAAGCTATTTGTCTCACAATTTCATGTTAAAACGACGCCAAACTAACCGCAAAATAACATGCATATAAGATCTGTTTGTTTCAATATAATTGGTTTTTTAAAAAATAAATTAAAAAATGAATTCTGAAAAAAGAAATTCTAGAAAATATTTTTTGCTGTTTGGATGATATTATATAATTCATTTTATGTTGTTTGGTAACTTTTGCTGAAAATCTTTTCTAAAATTTATTTTACTTAAATAAACAGACATTGTAATTATTCTATCTCATATTTACTATAGAGTTAATTTTTTATTATAAAATTATTTTTACGAAATTTTGCATATATATTATAATATTTGTTTTTATAAGGACCTCAAATTAACATTTAATGTCATTTATTCTTTTATATAAACGTATATAATGTGAATAATTTATATCGATTGTATTATAAAAACAAACTTTAAAAAACATGCTAATGTAACTTCTCAAACATCCCTCACAATTCTATAGATTATATGGCTGATAAGTGACAACAACAAACCATGATTCGGGCTCGTAAACTTCGATCAAATTATGATTGTCTGCTTCCAAAATATGGATCAAAACTTTAAGGGGGAAAAAACAATGTTAAATCAAAATTCGATAAAAATCCAACAAAAAATGCTTGATCATGTAAAATTAACAAAAGGTATATATAAAATACATATTTTTGATCAAATTAATAGGAAATTACCAATTTAGTTAATAAAAAATAGGGTAAAGTATATAAATAGTACCCAAACTTTTAGGGCGTTTCCATTTTGGTCACCCAACTTTTAAAACTTACAATATAATCATCATACTTTTAGTTCGTTTTCATTTCTCTCACTGTAGTTACCTTCCATTAGATTTTGATGACGTGGCAGCTAAACCTCCGTTAATCTTTTTTTTTTTGTGACATGGCAATTAACCCTTCTTCTATTTTGCTTTTAACCATCCAAATCTACTCCGAATTATGTTTTTTCAGCTTCAAGGAAATTAGATCACATAAGGAGAAGCTTTCAATACTATGTAGTAATCCATCGAATACGTTTTCGACACGACGGAATCCGTCCTAATGGCTCTAATATAGGGTACGTAGTACCACCACCACCATGTTCTTGATTAGTCTCTTCTATTTGATCACACTCGATGAGATAAGGTTTATGTTCACCAAATATGGACTTTGGTTTTGCTAATGACCTTCTTCTAGTGAGTGGAGGCTGAGGCTCATTACCTGCATTGGCGACTTTTGGTGGTTTATTTGCAGAAACAGCATCATTTTCTTCATTGGAAACATTGATCGACACTTCTCCTATAGAGTTGTCCTTCTCTCCATGGCCTTAACTTTTATCAGACCTGGAAGACTGGAACTTTGGTTCAGACAACGACAGACATTGTAAGAAACACCCAAAGACAAATGGAAGAAGACTGAAACTTTGGTTGAGGGATTATTTATATACTTTACCCTAAAAAATATTATTAATCAATTAATAAATTAAATATAAATAGATGTAAAAGTACCTATATAAAATAGAATAATAATTCAAAATGTCTATATAAAGTGAGTTGATCTTGGAAGACGCTAACAATATTTGATTTATGTTGTTTAATATTGTTTGACTTAATTTATTATTTGAGTCTTGAAATTTGATGTTTTAATAGTGTAATTTACTTATAGATTTTATTTTCTATTTTTTTATAAAGTATTGAATTTATTTATGATTTTTACATCTATAAAATTAAAAAAAAAATCATATGTCGTACCCTTGTTGTTTCCGTATTTTGTAATTTTAAAAATTATTGTTTTTTGTTTCTATCCCCGTATCCGTCCCATGCCCATATCAGTGCAACATAGACCGTAATCCACCAAAATATAGATTTTTTCCCTAAATTTTTAGAATCATTTGGTTCGTGAAAATCTCGAGCTTCAACATCAATAATTGCTGGTCTACTAGGCGACTCCAATGGACAAGAAGGATATGAAGCTATTGCTTTGACAGGTGAGCATGTCTCTTCCAAATTATCAGTGGTTTGAGCATCATTGCCAAATTCATATTTTTGTGATGCTTGACCGTTCTCTGTGGGTTCGTGGGTTCCTGGGAAATTTAAGGGATGATCGCTGATGAGTGGTATAGCGGTGGTCCGGCTTCTTCTTTGATTTTTAACACAGCCATTGATTATTGAAGGATGGTCTTTGTTCTTTGTTCATAAACTCTAATTTCTGTAAAATAGTATTGGTTTAGAAATAAATAAAATCAGCTTGGATATCTTGGAATTAAGAGACATGGTGTCTTTGGGATTCTATCTTGTAGTCTCTGGTTTTTATTAAATTTATATGGGTATGCAATGTCTAAGAGCTTGGTTGTATCCAAGTTAATGAAGCTCTAGAATACATTTAATGTATAGCAATTTCTTTATCACTGAGGTCACTCTTGTTTGTGCAGAACCTCCTTACTTTTAGTTCATAGAAAAATGCCACCTAAAAGTCATAATCATTTTTATGGCTAATACCTAGATTTGGATCTAACTTTAATTGAGTTTTTTCTACATTAAACTATAATTTTTTAAAGTAAAAATGTTTCCAAATGATATAGAATCTCGTTATTCTAGTTTTACTGCTTTAGTTTTCCCCT